TTTTGTTCAAGATTTAATTTTGTCGTAAGGTTAACGTCAAATCAATCTCATAGCGTAGTAAAACACTTCACATATAGTAAGTAAGTTACTACCTAATTTAATCACTAATATTGATGCTTTGTGAAAAATAAGTGTCAAACTGAGATACACTACACAGCAAGCCGGTAGGCCGGATGACCTGTGGTTACCTGCATATCACCACAGGTCATCCGGTCAGAGATACTTAGTCGCGTTAAGTTAAGATAAGCGGGTCGCTGGTTTGTTATATTTACGTCAGTTCGGCGGTAATTGGGTTATTTGTGTATTATGAAATGTAATTATATTTACTAATAAGGCAGAACATAAAAATTGAGTTGCTTTAATTACAATGACTCTACTTGCACAAATAATCAAATCATATAAACTTAGATGATAGATGTGAAATTATTTTCTCTAAAAAATATTGAAATGTCACTCACTTGAAGTTGCGTGCTTTCTTATTCCAAATATCATAAACGTAAAAACATCATTTGCAATTTTGAGGAATTTTATTACTTGCCCTATGACTTATTATTTACATGAATTGATTGATTATGATTAACAACAAACTGAGATAAATGATATTTAATTTTATCCACTCATGTCGCTAAAAACAATAATTCCTACATGTCGGTTCTTCAATGAGAAATAAACATTTAATTTATTCATTTTTAATGGCCATACTACAATTTACATTAGTATTAGTTTTGCAACAGTTCCGTCAACTACCAATCCAATCAAGGACGACAAGAATTAGGTATTAACTTTCGATTGTGGAAAATATCAGACATCGTATTATAGAATTGCTACGTCCTCTAGACGTATAAACCTGCGTTATGTTAAATCACGACTCAATACAGACTGAACCATGCTGTTTTAAATCGCATCTTCCACGGGGAGTACTGTGAGGAATGGTTAAGATTTACCCCAGCCGCTAGATTTCATGAACGCACATCTACTACTGTGCATTTTACTAGGAGTTTTCTTCATCGTACAACTTCTCTGTGGAATTGTTAACAACCATCAATTTTTCTGTGCCAGTACGACTTAGAGACTTTCAAGAAAAGAGCTTACTCCTTTCTAATAGACCGGCAATGCACCTGCTATTCCCCTGATGTTGCGGTGCTTCATGGGCGGCGGTAGTCACTTACCATCAGGTGAGCCGCTTGCTCATTTGCAAGCGGCTCACCTGAAAAGGCTCTTCTATAAAAAAGTGTCACCAACCTGGCTTGATTAAAACTTACTATGTCTGAAAAGTAACATTTTTAACCTAAAAGTTACGAAGTGATAAATTATTTATTGAAACCACAATAATTTCATTATTTCAAGGAAAGTTTTTCTAAATGATACCGAATATAACAGGATATATAGATCATTTATTTGATTAAAATTCTGGTTTTAAAACGTACACGTATATTTAAAAAAATTACATAATGTGCCTAAAACGTTTTCTTGTATACATAAGTTGACCAAAGTTACGTAAAATGTAAGTAATTCTCGCAGCACTCGCTTTAAAAATACGTCAGCAAAAAATTTGGGATATATTATAGTAAGCAGTAATAGCACAGAATAAATAATAGTATTACATTGTAATAGTTGGTTTTATAGCGAAAGATAATATATTTATATTACGAAGAAAATAAATCGTATTGAATTTATTACTATAGTGTGCACCGTTCGTGAGAATATTTGCAGATAATCTCAACAATTGCAGATGCGGGCCATTTAATCGGCTTAATAAGCATTAAAGACTATTGAAAGATTGTTGGTAAAGCCAACTTTGTACTAACAAGGCTTTAGGATAGAAAATAAATGACGTATTGACTCGACTACCGCCCTTTAAGTCGTTTTTATATCTTAAAGTAACATCACAAGACATGAAACCAGGCTTGGAGAAAGTAATGACTAGATTTATTCATCCCGATAGGGTTACTTTATACACGAGGTGATTCTATTGACGCCAAGACTCGACGAATATCAATCGACGTATCGAAAATATACAGAGTGTGAATAATACTATTCCTATATTTTTTTAAGATGAAATGCAAATTTACTTATGAAAAATTGAAATGGCATTGTTAGCGAATATACATCATACCATAGGTGTAGTAAAAGACAACTGTGGGAAAACTCAGCCTGATTTCATGATCCTTGACAAATGGTGCATTATTATTGTAGTTATTAGAAAGGATATAATAAAATTATATAATAATGTCCTCTAGACTGAATATAAGTTGCTGGTCTTTGCACAAAATAGGAGTGCACAAGCATGAGGGTTTGCGCAATACTGGAGCACCGTAAATTCCTCCATCTCATAGTCCGACAAGACCGGAAATAGATCATGAGCTGGACCAACGCCTTCACGTGCCCTACGTACATTCCATCTTATACGTTCCAGGAAAAAAAAAGTTAGAGCCTATAAACGCCCCATAGCTGGGCACACCTCTCAAATCTGAAAGGGGGCTTGTAGTTTTTTTTTAAATATCAGACATGCAAGTTTCCTTTTGATGACTTCCCCGTCGTACATGTAGTAAATCAGTACTTAAAATTGTAATTAATAAATTGATTGGTGCTTGTGGGAATCGAACCCAACCCGGGTCATTAAGGGCAAGCTCACCACGGCTCTTATATGTAAAATATTTAAGCCGTAAAATTCTGATAGGAGCAGCATCAAAGGTGCACGAAATCTGATAATATGCTTGCTAAGCGTGCGGATTACGTCAAATCCTTTCTCCGATGGGAGAGTCTTATGCCCAACGGTGTACTATACAGAGTATATAATTACTACATTTTAGTGTGCTGATACAGAGTAATAACCACAGATAAAATAATCACTTTTTATATTATGTAATTGCAAATAAACTATCTATTTATTTGTCACATTGATTACGTTGTAGTAAACAACAATAAATCGTATTCAAATTTTAAACAAACTTTAAATTTCGTTCTTATCTTCAGATTAGATTTATGCGTTTGATAAGATAATTATATCCTATTCTGGTTGTTTGGATCGAGATAGAAAATAAATAAAATAGTGTCTATGAAAAATGCTATAAAATAATAAGTGCGACGTTGAAGATTCGTCAGAAAACGACCGCCACGACTCGCCCGCCCACGCTCGTACCACTTTCCAAATTCCTTGTGTAAGCTGCAATCACCTACGTAGACGTCATGCGACAATCGCGTACCATATTTATTAATATATAATTATTATTTCAACAAATTTTGATTTATACACTATCCATTTCATTATGAAAGACCTCGGATAACTTTGATTTTAATTAAAATTAGAACTGAAAATGGCGTATGAAGATTTATGCTTAGACATTTTAATTGTAATACTTACCTTGAATGTTTTTTGGTAGTTTCATCATCACATGTTCTTAGAAATTAAATTTATGTATGACCCTAGTAATATATTCATAGAAATGTCATTAAACCATAAAACTTTTTACAATAAAACTCCTTGAAAATTAAGACAAAGTAATTTTTTATGAATACTTATATTTAAACCTTTCGGTAAGAGTAATAGTGATATAAAACATAGTATTTACTGTGTAATTTTATTAGAAAACATCTGCCAAATTGTTGCTTCTCTCGCTAGAAAGTAATTTTGTTCTGTGTGTTACTTTATAAGTTACTTAGAACCATCCATTCAAAGTGAATTTCTCGATAACTGATTTTCAAACTTGGTTAAAACTTGAAGCGTAACAGAAGGTATTCCTACTGAGTTATGTGTAGTGTTTGATGATACGGATATTGTAGTTTACGCTATTTGCTCTAAATACATTATTAACAAGGCTAGAATTTTGTATGTAGTTATCGACTATAAAAAATTTAATAACACATAAGTAGGCAATTTATGATATATATTAAGAATTCGTTGTTCAAATAATTAAATATTTTAGAGATCTAATTTTACTATCAATAGGAGAAAAAGTGCTTTTTAAGTAATTGCAATCAATTATTTTCTTCTACTCTTATACTGTTACAGCATATTAGAGTCCACTGTTGATCATAGGTCTCCCACATACAATTGCTCATACACAATTATAATTGAACACATGCCATTGTTGCCACGCTTGCCAAGCAGGCTTGGATCTTTTGGGTTCATTTTTTATTTTTAGTCTTTATTAGGAAGATACTGCTGCCCATCGTCTGATTAAAAAATTAAAAATATTAAAATAAAGTGAAACAAAATTTTATACAACACACAAGAATATAGCCTTGAGTTAATAGTCCGGAACGTTTTACCGATAGGCATGACATGAATATTCAGGGTAAGGGCCCCGTTCGCCAATAACTGTTAACTTACGTCATATTGTGCCTCCGGGTATAATCTCTCCCCTGCGGTTATCCTACTCCTCGCTGACCCATCAAAGCATCGATTGTGCAAACGCCTCGCTCAACTTCGTTAACAGTTAACTTTGGTTTATTCCAGATTTAGATTTGGCATTTATGCGCTTCTGTTATTCATTGCTCTGAAAATGTAGCTCATTTAACGAACGGTTCACTCAATCTCTACCAGAGTGATACGTTTGCATTTTGATTGAATGTTAAAAATATTAATTTAATGTTCCAAATTTCACACAATACTACTGTATCAATTGTAAATAGTTGTGTTAAGATATTGTAACAACACACAGTCAACATATTTTTATGTACATATTTTTACGTTATGTAAGTGGTATACATATGTAGGTATTAACTGATAGGGTAATTTCTTGACAGAAATCTATTAAACAAACATATGTCCAAGTTTGTTTACTTCGGTGAAGGTTGCATAGAATTGCGAGGCCTCCAGTGTAAGCGCGAGGCTGCGCTAGCGCACGCGTCTCGGTGGCGCCAACTCGAACTCTTGCGCAAGTGTTTGTTCGCAGCGTGTTAACGAATATTTTCAATCAAAAGCTACCTTAAAGGCTTACATATGCATTTACTTATAATGTAATTTTCACGAAGTTATAGGCCTCTAAAATACAAAAATGAAGCTTAGAATTTTCGCGCTATTCCTTCTCGGTATCACAGTCGCATATCCGAAAATCCATATAGAGGACGTTGTGAAAAAGCGTGATACGTTTTACCGCAAGAAAAACACAAATGGCTCCAAATGTGCTTTAAACGAGACGATAACTAATGACTATGAGATCCTGTCGTCAGCCGTGTCTGAATCGAAATATATTTTCACAGCTCGAGTTCTGAGAGTGAGGAAAATAAAGCGGGGTAAAAAACCTAAAGCTAAAGTATTCATGAACTATAAACTGTATTTACATTTGGTTATGAAAGGCGATGTAGTAGAGTTGAAAAAATACGTTTTTCATGGAAATGAACGCACGTTGAACGGTGCCATTGTATTTGTTGATTGGCTTCAAACGAATAAGTGTGCTTACAAACTTTACAGACACTCCTCGGGAATATTTTTGAGCGACGGTTTTTACGAAGGCCTTAATATTAGGAAGCAGCCGCGGCTGCGATTGTTGAACGAGCCGCTACCGCTGTCACTTTACGATCTGGATAGAGTGAATGCGGCTTTGAAAGGTAAATGAATGTTTACCTTAACATATGTATGTAGTCGGTTTGTATGAAGGCGTGCGCTCGAAAAAATAATAATATTTTTTTATTTTTATTAATATTATAAGGTTTTGCACTATCAACATATATTTAGTAGGATTCTCGTACGAAATTCTTGTAAAATGACTAACCTCCTAAAATTGTTAAAGCTGGCCACAGATCCTTCTCACTTTAAAAATGGGATGGAATAAATTTTAAACATGAATGCTTCTTACAACTTTTTCACTTGACTGAGCAAGATGACCGTGTATCACAGGAACGGTACTTATTATGTTAAAATATTATTGTGTAAATAAAAAAAATGTTTAAATTATTGATCCACTGCTTAGGTTACAAGAATTTGCTGTAGTGCTAGTGGATCGGTGGAATAGTATCTGGACTAATTTACTATAGACAAAAAATTAAGAAGAAGAGGACAAGAACATTGTGTTTCGCATGGTTACTCATTTTTTTTAATTTAATTTCTTTATTAATTCAGTTGTGAGCATAGTAATAAATTAGCCAAAAGTATTTCATAGTGCATGGCATAGATTTCTCTCACATTTGAAACGGGAATAGCGTGTAATTACAAACATGCAGGGTTTATTAAGATATTTCATTTTCCACTGAGAAAGGCGTATACTGAAGGATCAGTATTTGATTATACAAAAATAGTAGCTTGCCAGGCAGACGTTGTTCTGCCCTATTGTTTCCTATTAAAATCCTAATATATGAAAAAAAAAAGAAATGTGGGTCACTCATAAGCAAAAAACTATCCTATCTCTCAAGTTGGACCAAACTGCACACGAGTCCATCGCGGACAAACAACGTGACACGTAATTTATATATATTAAGATTATTGTATAAATTAAAAATATATATTTGAATTTCATAAAGTAGATATCATCAAAAAAAAACCGAGGAGTAATTTGTTTTATTCAAGCTTAACGTCGTCATGTTTGTTGTAAAGTTATCAGAACTTTTAACCTTATAAAGCCTAAAAGCTTGCGATAAACGGCTTAATAGTATTAGCAGGTACAGGGCTTTTATTGGAAATTCCACACACAAGCATTAGTTTTAATTGTTATTACTTAACATAAGCTAGAAACACACTCAAATCAACCCTTCATGGTTACACTTTTTCAATTGCATGTCAGGCACGCAGTAGTGGCACTTTTTAAGTTTTAAAACTGCACGAGGTATACTCAAAACGTTCATGTGTAAACATTATGAACCGTGACAATTTAGTAGTAAGCGCGTTCACTATTTTTAACATTGTGAACGCATATGAATAGCAGTGCTATAAAATTTATAACATAATTAATGTTATAAACGTAGGCTTGCAAAAATCGTCATCTTAGACGGCAGTTGTACGGTGTACTGTATATTGTACTTTTGAAAGCTTTCAAAGAATAACTACAAAAATAAATTAAATTGCCCGACACTTTTCTTATATTTGATTCACATTTTTTTAGAAGATTATTTCGCCACCCGTCGAAAGCTCGTTCTATTTAATCCATTTTCTTAACCTTAATCATTTCATAAATATTTGTTGGTGGAAATATTATAATGTTGTTTTTTTTTTTAAATAATTGTTGAGGACTAACGAAGATCGACGGCCCCGTAGCGCAGTAGCTAAGCATCTTGGCGCTGCGGGTTTGAATCTTGCACAGAACGTGTTGCTTACAAATAATTGTTCCAGGTTTGGATGTCCGTTCAGGTGCAATATATGTATGTAAACCAAATTGACTATATACAAAATAATTACAGTATTTCATCCCATCACACCATTTCCAACTCTATAAGGAGCAAGTTCGACCTCACATAAAGTACTTTTCTCATCTCCGGGTCGGAACACCTCAGAGCCAGCTACTTCCACTTGACTGCATTCAGCGTAGAACAGCTCGAATCAATTGCGGCTGAGTTATTTGTGATCGGCTCGACTCAATGGCGCTGCGAAGTTTTTCATTTTTTCCGTTTGCATTTTTTGTCACGTGTACCACGGGGAGTGTTCTGAGGAATTGTTCGGATTAGTTCTAGTCTCCAAATTTCACGAATGCACATCGCGTCAAAACTCACGATACGATCCACACCACCCGGATGCTTGGCGGTCCACCACTACTTTACTTTACTTTTTTACTCGGTTACTACGTTTATACAATACCCTTAAGTATAAACGCTGGTGAATTGGCGATCGCAGTATTCCGGTACTGCGTTTTGTATATTGACACTAATTTTTGTCAAAGATCTGAGTATTGTACATATAAAATTCGGTTTATCGCAATATCTCGGCATTTGAATTGTCTTTTCTCATCGCATCCATGGAAAAAATGGGTTGATTGCTTTTCTTATAGCAAGTGTAAACACTTTCACATTTACAAAATACCAATAAAAATAATAATAAAAATCAGATATAAACCGAAAAGGTCTAGAATAAATTTTTAAATAATATATAATTCAATTGTTTTCATGTTCCTCCTCACTATAATTTTGTTTTAATTTCACTGCACTGAATTGTGTCACTGACATGGAAAATAGCTAGTAATGTGGCAAAATAATCATTGTTATTCATTCTTAATTTCATTACATTGATATGCAAATATTATATATACTGGATTCCCTGTGGTACAGGCGATTATAGTTCCAATAACGTTTACCATTAAGCATTGTTTGCTGCCAATTGTGTTTGATTGTAGTTTTCGGGCCGTCAAAATAAATATTTTATTGTTAATGAAATTTTATTATACATCTTTGTTTTCTGTGTTGCGTTAATGTATTAAAATAAATATTCCAATTTACTTGTGTGCATTTTCATTTATTATTTCAAATATTTATTATCTCTTATAAAAGTCTGTCTTATAACACCACGCTTTTACAGTTTGCTAGCTGGTAACTTGGGTATCATATCACGTAACTTTCGTCTCAATATTTTACCGCTTCCAGTTTTTGGTATCTCCTTCACGAATATCACACCACCTCGTAACCTTTTCCACGGCGACACCTGCATATGAAAACAAATCTTTATTAGTCCTGCGACTGTCTAGAGCTCGAGTGCTCAAAAGCCTGTATTTACCAAAGAAAATTGTAGTGTTATTTTCTCAGGCTTTAAGAAAATACCGCTTACATTTTCTCTACGTAGAAATACCTGGCCAGGGATTCTTAAGCGTTGCATAATGTGAGAACCTTTTAGTTTTACATCTATTGAATGTTAAAAGTAGATTACATTTAAAATGATATAGGGTCATATATCAGGTTTCAAATTGTTTTTAAAAATATTAAACAAGATAATTTTTAAGTCATGAAAAATGCTTACCTTGGTATTTACGTATTTTACGATATCAGTCTCTTTGACATCCATATTAGGTTGTTTTACTATAAAAGCAGTAGGTAATTCACCAGCAAGAGAATCCGGGATGCCCACTACTCCTACATCTTTTACAGTTGGAAGTTTCATTATCAGGTCTTCTAGTTCTGATGGTGGAACCTGTAAACAAAAAAATCTTTATCAACTAATTAGTAGAGGGCTGGTTCTTTCTCGCTCATAAGCTGAGTACAGCCATTAGGGGAGGAAACGCAGCCAGCGTTATTGCTACTATACCGCAGTGAGTAAGACCGTATGATAATAATATTTTTATTAAATCAATAATTTTCCTATTTTAACATATTTTTAACAAAATGTTGTTCAACATTTTGTCATTTTTTATTACATTGGGTATATCCAAGGGTCCCATTGAAATTTGAAAAAATCAACCCCAAAGGGTGAAAAAATAGGGTATTAATTTCTATATAACTATTTAGACGACATTCTTTTAGACTCGACGGTTTTTTAAAGTCAATTTTAAAAAGAGGTAAACACTAAAAGAATGTCGTCTAAATAACTAAATAAAATCAAATATAATAAAAGTTTATTACCGTTGTTCATAAAAAATATTAACCTATTTTCAATATTAAAATAGATTATTGCAAAAAACCACAACGTACTGAAACGATTTAAATTTAAATAAAAATGTTGTAAAACTATAGGTATGATATATGAGGATTATAATATGTATAATAAATGATGATGATAAAAATGTTAAGTACTTTTCATTATTACTCACTTGCCAAGCTTTATACTTCATAAGTTCTTTTATTCTGTCAACAATGTAGAAGAAACCATCTTCGTCGTAGTACGCGATATCTCCAGTTTTATAGAAACCGTCTTCATCAAAATCATCTTTAGAATCTTTTCCAATATAACCGTCGAACAGAATTGGTCCTTTCACGCAAACTTCTCCAACCTGACCGGGGCCCAATATTTTACGAGTTTCAAAATCAACTATCTGAAAGTTATATTAAAGAATAAAAAATCTTGTTCGAAGACAATGTTTTGTGCTGAAATATGTTACGTGAAAAATTAAAAAGAATTTATCATTCAATTATGTGATAATAATAAATAATTAAGAGCATCTTAATGTCTTTGTGTTCAGTGTACTTTTACATTGTTATTTTGTAATAACCGGCCAATTTGCAGAGAAGGTTCAGAATAAATACCTAATATAGGCAAATAGTGAAAAAAGATTAATTAAAAGAAATATGTACTGAGAATGTTTATTCTCTTCTTTTTATCTTTTAAATTCAAAATGCGTGGTAATGCATATGTTAATGCATGCACATTCATAAGGATCGATCGGTAGGCAAAACGTTCTTAATAAATAACATTCATTTTGGAATAATTTCAAATAAAATTATAGGACTTATTTAGTCGTATATTCAAAAACTGGAATAGCGGTATATCATTATTTATATACTAGAACTTAAGTTTAAAATACGTTTACGTACGTTTAATAAGTACTCTTTGAAAAGTACCTTGTATAAATAAAATTCTTTATACTAGGTACTTTATTTACAAGCGACCCGCCTCGGTTAGGCGCGGAAAGGTTCTTTTAATATGGCGACATGTAAGATAATCCCATTTATTCCATAAATTTTTCGTTTTTGTAAAGATAAACTTCCAGTTTTTCCGGATAAATATACTCTAGATACCTCTCGTCATTGCTTTCCGTATAATTTCATCACAATTGGCTCAGCCATTATGAAGATTAGCCTTGACAAACAAAATGATAGTCAAACATAATTTAAAAAAAATGATATATTATGTCTAGCATGCAAACAATCCCCTAAGCTTCACAAAAGACATTAATTTATTTTTTTACAGCCAGATTTATTTTACAACTAGATACATCAATCTTATCTATAATCTTATCTATATGTATAAATGTATATATAAGCATTACCTAATAATTTTTCACACACAGTAGTTTATGTCTCGTCTGAAGATAAAAAGAAAGAGAAAGTTGTTGTACCGCGTAAAGTTGCTGACATTCTAATATTCTGGTATTCTCACAGAATACCAGCGTAAAATAGTAGCTTAATGCTGCTGTTTCGTATGGTGAGTGTAGAGAACTGGATACCCTTTTTACTGGAAACGAGGCATTCCATCTTAGTCCTCACGGGTGACAACGCATCTGCATTTCGATTCGTAATCGAGAATAGATGTAGATGTCTATGGGCCACAGCAACCACTTACCATCAGGTGGACTGTGTGCTCGTTTGTCACCCTATCCTATAAAAAAATAACGATTATATGGCTAAACGACTTCATTTTGTTAGAAAGATGTTGCAGTTGTCTCTTTATTAAGTTCATAACTAAATCACTTAATCGCGTATATTGTCACTTCAGGTAAGTTCGTTTAGTCAACATTATACCTATGCTATATCCTCGAAATCACGAAAACAATCTGGGCTTTATTACGTTTGAAATTAAATAAATATATGTATAATATATCGGTAGTAACCATTCTTCATCTTTACACTAAGGTTTACTCGTTGAAAAATATCAATTTAATCGATATTTTTGGATTAAAGTGTAATTAGGTGATTTCATATAAAGCCTCTATGTACCCGCCGGTTATAAGCGTAATTGACCAACTCAAATTTCCAGATATATCGAATTTCACTAACATTAGTGAGATATAAAAGAACGTATTTACACACACCTATTTGAAAGTACTTAGCGTCTGTTATAAATATCAAGTTTCATAGAAGCGTAAATTAAAAGCATATAATATTCAAAAAGAGTAAATTTTAATTATATTTATAGTAAGTAAGAGTAAGATTCATATAGTGGAATTTCACTTTTCTTTTTAACGGTTTTATATATATGTATGAACTATTTCACGTTATTACCTTATTTAATAGTAATCACAATTTAAAGGAAAAATAACGTTTTCCGCCACGGGATGCCTGGCAGATTTGGACCATCATTGTTGATGGTAAATTTAAAGTTAATTAAAACTAATTGAAGAAATATGGAATAAAATAAGTAAAAAACAAATAGGCTCAACATGCATTACACAACTCACACAGACAGAGACTCACTCACACAGAGAGCCACGTAGCGTATAATATACGCGCACACACGCACAAGGGAGTCGAAAACGTGGGCCTAGAGCATGACGACACAACAGAGCGTCACGCCGTTGCCGTTACGGCGTACGAGGCGGGTTTACTGTCAATGAACGCAAATTAGATGTTTTACATAAAAAAATTAAAAATTGGAATATTTTAAGTACACTTGCACAAGTATTTTGCTTTGCTTATTTTGCTATACATGTATGTGACAGCAAAGTAAAGCTCGTCAGGATTACAGATAACACACTTATTAAATAATTGTGAGCCACTCATTTAATATGATATAATGAAGGTAACCAACAACATTCTCTTCATTACAAGTCAAGAACGCATTGTTATGTCAATTTACTAAGCTATGTTACGATTAAGCTATGATATATGTTTATAGCACAAAGTTAAGAGCTCTTAAAAACTTAGCCGTAACACTTTCTGTTGTAGATAACATTCTTCAATTCAACATTCCTGTGATATAGTAAGAGTAAAAGGTATTACAAATCTTGTTTGTTACAACGTGAAAAATAACCACAAGAGTTGTATGTAGTGCGTTTATGATTATTAAATAGTTTTTGAAACCTAAAGAATAAGAAACATTAAAAAGTATCGGACTATACTGAATGAATCGAACTTTACTAAAGTTTTTAGGAAAAGCCAATTATTTTGTAAGCGCTTAGTTTCCTTCAGGGTAACGTCACAATTATTACGTCTTTTTGGTATAACCTTAAACTAACCTAAAGAATAAAATTCTAGTACCTTGAAAATGTGGCTAATATTTGGAAGTAAAACGCTACAGAAAAGGCCACAGTAAGCGACAGCTAAGTTTCGGAATTTTTTTTAAATACACTTAGACATAATATAAACTTTGCGGTTAAATGACAGCACCGTCCATGGTACATGGTTCGCAAGTTTGAAGCGAGTACATTATTTTTGTCTTTTCTCGTGAGAGCTAAGGTATAATGTTTCACTGTTTGTTGAACATGAGATCTCGGGGTCTCGGGTTCGTATCCCCGGTCGAGTCAGATTAAGTTAATAGGTTTTTCTGTCAAGAAGTTATGAGTAATAGTCCGAAGTCATGAAGTTGGCGTTGTTTAACCTCGTGCTTCGAATAGTACGTAAATCCAAGCGTCTGATCTTTCTTTGGTCGTATAGTATTGCCGTCCCATTAGACTATGAAAGTGCACACACTCGTACGTTATAATCTTGTTATGCGCAAATTATTGCCTCCATTGAGACTGGGCGCCGTGACTGCATAGGGTTTTTAGGGCCTGGTATTTGAGATCCGGTTGTATAAAATAAAAATAAAATAAAATAATTTTTTATTCAATATAGATTACAAGTAATTCTTATTGAAAGTCAATATTTTACGTTACCACTGATTCGAAAAAAAATCTCTGTCCTGAAAGAACCAGCAAGAAACCCAGCGCTACTTTTTTTTAAAAATAAATTTTACAATTTCGAGGGTCACAGAATATTTACAAAATTTATTTTAGATACAGCTTCGAAGCGACCACCTCATTCCCAGGGGTTATAATCAACCATGATTGTATTCGTTTATATCATAATAACCTTTTTATACAGTTTCTGTTTAATTAAATATTTAAACTTGGTAATAGAAAAGTATATTTTCTGGGACTTTGTTGTTAATAGCTTATACATTGCTCCAAGAATGAATTACTGACTATGTGGAGTCGAGAAACTGGTAGCACCAGCTTGTGTTTGTTCCTAGTGTTTACAGAGTGTATGTCACTTTTTTACAAAAACTATCTTTATTTTTGTGAAAATACATCAAATTTCATAGATATACTGAGAGGCCAAAGTTAATATATTTATTTCTTTAATTTTTTCTCTAAGAGACTATCTCGGTTTAAGATTGTAAATAGCTCTAATGGCCCTCTTCTGCAAAACAAAAATAGTTTCTAAATCTGCCTTTTTCCCTCATAGCAAAATTTCATATGACATTATGCTATGGAAATAACTGAAATAAACTTATCTAGCTGTCTCGACATTAGTGAAATCTCTAATATTTTTTACAGCATAAGCTGCAGAGCTTATTCTGCTTGCTAGTTTAGATATATGGGGGCCCCACTGAAGCTTAGCGTCGAAAGTGATGCTAAGAAAAACAGAGGACTCAACAGGACTCAGTTCTTATATGTCTCTACCGGCGGCAATCAAACGAAATAGATTGTAATTACGCTTCATTCCCTGATCAAATATTAGATTTAATATTTCAATTTATATTTATCACCACTAACAACAGCCTACGTCGACTAACTTACAAGGTTAGTCGGCGTTGTAAGAATCCGGTCTGTATTGACTCGGGCGGAGTCCAGTTTTTGCTTTTAAAATCCAGTAAAGGCCAAATTTATAAATTTATAGAAGATGGTTGAAACAAAATTTTAAAATACCTTTATTATGTTTCCACAAACAATTTTACCAACACTACCTTCCTTGCTCATATTTTCTACTTCCGCCGTCAGCGCTCCGGTAGTTTCAGTCATTCCATACCCTTGCAATACGCTCTTAACATGTGGAAATCTTCAAAGGAATTTGCTTTATTATAAAAAGGTTAATGAACGTAAAATTTGTTAAAATCTCTGTGATTTATATGCATTCGTACCTAGTTTTTAGCTCTTTAATGACAGTCGAGTTTAAAGGTGCTCCACCGCTATGAATTATTTCAACTGAACTGATGTCGAATTCATTTACAATGGTTGATTTACACAAAGTTACGATTGTAGGCGGAGCTACTGTTAAGATGCATACCTAGAATTAAAGTTTATTATATATTTTATGCCAAATATAAAAATGGATTAATATATGAGAATAACTCGTACCTTATAAGTTTGTATTGTGTGTAAAAACAGTTTTTCATCAAATCTTGGAAGAAACGCTATGGTCTTTCCGTAAAAAAGTTCTCTCAACAAAATTACTATACCCATCGTACTTGACCATGGAGTTATAGTTAGCATTACAACATTGCGTTTAGAAGGTCTGTTATGAATAAAAATATTATTATTAAAATTAAATAAAGGGGTAAAAAATCAAGTTCATTGGATGACAAATTTTTATTTATTTTTTATATTATTTTAATCCCACACTAGGAATTTTTGTTGTACAATGAAGGCAATTTACAAAAACAAATTACATTATGTGGACATCCCAGACCCGAAACTGGTTGACTTTTCTGGTTTTAACATTGTCGTTGACGAAAATCGAACAGTCAACCATTACTGCCACACCTAAACGCTTTATATACGCTTAATTACACCCCCCCCCCCGCCGCCCCACCAGATGGTGTGATGACCTGGTAAGACATGCAGGAAGTCGATGGATGCAAATAGCTCAAAACCGTGCTTTATAGCAATCCTTGGGGAAGGCCTAAGTTCAGCAGAGGGCTTGTGAAAGGCTGTAATCATAATGAGAACGCTTTATCTTCACCTATTTATTTTGCTTTAAGCTGCGGAAGTGTTTCGGGAGATTTCTAAATATTTTTTATAGAAATAAATGAATACATCTAAGGTAAAAAGTCTATTTTACTTTAGTTGTGGACATTTTATTTTTAATTTTAACAATTTTAAAAAATAAAGATTATGGTCGATATTTTTATTTTTAGTCAACTATAGGCCATTTTAAATATGATTTCTAAAAGAAAAGCCAAAATTTGCCACGTTGCGCAAGCGGATTTGAACTTAATTATACTACGGTCACTAGTAATGTTGCTTCCTATCATCTGTACTCCTTTTGTACCTAAAGTATAATATATTTATAAAAAGAATATATATATTTGTTTATACATAAAAAATCTTGATTTCTTTAAAAATCGATTTCGATCGGGGGTTTAAGCAAGGGTTCCTCGTTTGCGTCCCATGTGAAATTTAAAAAGTCTTGATTGCATTAACACTACGTAGACGTTCATCAATAAAACATCCGTCACTTCATTACATTTTGTTTATTTTCAGTGTAACATTAAAGTACTATACGGACATAATAGTTCACCATATAGCAATTGGCTCCACGTTATGGACACCTACAAGCAACTTCAGATAAAACTTATTAGAGATATGCACGCGCATGCCTCTGAGGAGTAAAATAGAATGTCTTGTACTTGTACTTGTACTGGCTGCTGCGTTTCGAGTGATGAGTGACGAGAACCGGAAATAGTTTTTACTGGTAACTGGACGTTCCATCCTAGACCTCAAAAGGGATAATTTAGGTAACTTATTAACTTTTAAAGGATCTAATTTGTTGATTGACGACCAAAGCATCCACTTTTGATAATTTATTTTCTTTCAAATCTTTACTTCAATGCGTTCAACGATTAAGGTTATTTCTGTCAGGATTTGATGACGCAGCCCCGCAGCACCGCGGCTAAATGCTTAACCTCTGCGCTATATTGTATGAAGGATTTGTAAACAAAAGTCTTAATTTAATATAATATGAAGGTTTACTATTTATTTTTTTTATTTTTAACTGGTGTTCCACGGTTATGTGTTTTTTTGTTTTTATCCATCCAAAGGTTGCTTGTACGAAATCGCTTTTAGCGATAAAGTCGCCCCTTGTACAACTAATTTACGTGTATTTTGATTTTGTAGTATTTTATATTTTATAAAGTTGCATTTATTATTGTTATTATATTATATTATATACCTTTGAAATATTCTATTCCGGTTGGGTCAAATACATTTTAACGTAAAGCAAAACGGAACTTAAATATACTTACATTGGTTGTTGTACAGCTATAATCAAACTGCGATGATTTATTTTTGCTCCTTTAGCGAGACCTGTAGTTCCTGATGAATAAAGGATTAAGGCAGTTCCCCCTGAAGAAAATAATGTTTGTTATTTATAAAGCCGGAGTAAATAAAATTCTTGCTTGCGATGCTTACCATTCACTTCAGTAGGTTCGTAAATATTCATTTCTAAGGTCCCTTGTGGCATATCGTTAAAATTGATAACTTCGAAATTCATAGATATGTTATCAAATATTATGAATTTTTCTACTAGAGTCAGGCTTTTTATTAGTTTATAATATTTATTGTATGCGTCCAATGACATAAACATATATTTTGGTTTTGATATATGGAGTGCGTGTACCATTTCATCTGTAAAATTCACCAAAGAAAAGTTATTAATTAAGATAATATACTCGTGTAAATACTTCGGTCAACAATACATAACTAGAAAACGTCATTATTATCATCATTTCAGCCCTTCACAAGTCCACTGCTGAACATAGGCCTCCCCCAAGTAATGCCACAAAGCACGGTCCTGAGCCACCTGCATCCATCGACTTCCTGCATGTCTTACCAGGTCGTCACTCCATCTAGTGGGGGGTCGCCCTACACTACGCCTACCGGTACGAGGCTGCCACTCGAGAAACTTTCTTCCCCATTGGTTATCGGTTCTTCGAGCTATATGGCCGGCCCATTGCCACTTCAGCTTACTAATCCGTTGGGCTATGTCGGTCACTCTGGTTTTACTACAGATATTCTCATTCCTGAGTCTATCACGTAGAGAAACTCCGAGCATAGCCCTCTCCATAGCTCGCTGAGCGACCTTGAGCGTCCTCATACGGCCAGCAGTGAAGGACCACGTCTCTGATCCGTAAGTCATCACTGGCAACACGCACTGGTTTTAAACTTTAGTTTTCAGAGATTGAGGTATACCTGACGAGAAGATGTGTCGTAATTTCCCGAATGCTGCCCAGCCGAGTTGAATCCGTCGATTGACCTCTCGGTCGAAGTTGGACTTACCTAGTCGGACTATTTGTCCCAGGTAAACGTACTCGTCAACAACTTCGAGCATAGTGCTCCCCACAACTACCGGCATAGGTGTGACATGGACATTGAACATAATCTTTGTTTTGTCCATGTTCATCTTAAGACCTATCCGTTGGGAGACGCCATTGAGGTCATTGAGCATAGTGCTAAGGTCCTCCAGCGATTCTGTCATAAGGACTATATTGTCGGCAAATCGAAGGTGAGTGATGTACTCGCCATTGATGTTAATACCGTATCCTTTCCAGTCCAGTAGCTTGAAAACGTCTTCCAACGCAGCGGTGAAGAGTTTCGGGGATATAACGTCACCCTGTCTTACACCTCTCTGCAGTTGGATAGGTTTCCAACTCTGGTTCTGTACTCGGATAGCCATCGTAGCCCTACTGTACAAAACACTTCAGCACCTCGATATACCGACAGTCAACTTGGCACCGCTGAAGGGACTGTAGCACCGCCCAAATTTCGACGGAATCAAAGGCTTTCTCATAGTCCACATACGCCAGGCAAAGTGGCAGATTGTACTCCTCGGTCTTCTGTACAATCTGCCGCAGGGTATGTATGTAGTCTTTGGTACTGAAGCCTTTTCGGAAACCGGCTTGTTCGGGAGGCTGGAAGTCGTCGAGTCTGCGTGCGAGACGACTCGTAATGACTCTCGAAAACAGCACGTAGACGCGGCTCAGAAGGGAAATCGGTCTGTAGTTCTTCAAGAGAGCGTTGTTGCCTTTCTTAAAGAACAAGACCACCGCACTTCTGCTCCACGCCACCGGAGTAGTGCCACCATGGAGGACGGAATTGAAGAGCTTCTGAAGGACTTCAAGTACCGGTGTTCCACCCGTTTTCAGTAGCTCCGCTCTAATTCCATCCTCGCCTGGGGCCCTGCCGTTTTTAAGGTGCTGGAGAGCCATTCTAATCTCGCTCAGACTGACGTTCGGGATATCATCGGAATAGTGTCGGGTAAGACTTGCTCTTGTATCGTTACTCACACTTGCGTGTGGCTCCAACGATGATGTGTACAACTCCCCATAGAACCTCTCAGTCTCACTCAAAATCTCAGGTGTACCGGAAATGATGCTGCCACACTCAGTCTTCAGCTTTGACAGTTGGCTCTTTCTGGCAGACAGATCTCTGGCAAAGACTTTGGAGCCCTGGTTCCACTCGATCGCTTCTTTAATACGAGTAGTATTAAAGTTACGCAACTTTAATCATGTCTTGCCGCATGCATTTGGAGATCCGTCTGTTCAGTTGCCTGTATGCTGTCAAATCTGTTGACGATTGCAGCCTCATCTCCCGTCTAACAGCCATGAGATTAAGAGTGTGATCGGAGAGTTTTTGTGTTCTTCTGCGGCGGGTCTTGCAGAACTTAGCTCCGACCGCATGGACAGTTTCCACGAGCTTGTCATTCATATCGTCCACTGCATTGCAATCTTCTAGGCAATGAAAGCGGTTACGTAACTCGAGCTGAAAATTTTAAGCTGCGTTGAAGTCTCCCATCAACACCGTGTAGTGGGTTTTGGAGGAATGCATGGCTCTAGAAATATCCTCATACATTTCCTCCACCTCCTCATCGGGATGTGCCGAGGTTGGTGCGTAGACCTGTATGACCTTAAGCGAATATCGTTTGGTGATTCTGAGTATCAGGTACGCGACCCTCGGCGACATACTTCCAATCTTTACAACGTTGTTGGCGAGAGACTTGTGGACGATAAATCCGACACCTCCTTGGGACAGAACAATCCTGGTGATAGAACAAGTTGCTAGACTCGAGGATTACCGTATCCTCCCCCTCTCTTCGGACCTCGGATAAACCAATAATATGCCAGCGCAACTTGTCTACCTCTTCTTCCAGCTCCATTATCTTCTCGTCAGTCCTCAGGGTGCGTGCGTTATACGTTGCCAGGTCGAGTCGTCGTAGGTGGCAACCGAACCCTCCACCGGAGATTTTTAGCACCCCCTGCCCCGCCATTACCATGGTCGCCACCGTAGCCAGGAATAGCGGGGCCGCCGGGGACTAGGGGCCGTTTATTTGTGTCCTTGCTCATGGGGGGATATTTGCCATAGTTGCCACGCTTGGCGAGCGGGTTGGCAACCGCAGTTTTTTATTATGTTATTGTTGTTATTAGGAAGATGCTGCTGCCCATCTCCTTTCTGTGTCCCTCTGTCGCCTCTTACGACACACACGGGAAGATATGGGGTAGTGGATATTCTCAACCGCCACTACACGGCAACTAGAAAACGTGTTACATTTTAAAACGTGGCCTGTTTGTTGATTTTATTTTTAATCGTAAATATTGTTAAGAAATAATGCTTGTGTTAGGAATGGTTTACGACAGCAGTCGAATAGTGCATTCGAACCCACGAACGTTTGAGTTCACGGACCCGCCATTAGGCTACTGTCGCTTCTGTCATTTATACTGTAACATTTTTCCAATAACTAATCATACGTATCATTTTCTATTTAGAGCATTTGATACATTCTAATTCGATTTAATAGCCGTGTGGTGGTAGCGTAACGGAATTCCACTACCAATTTCCACCTTTGGGTGTCGTGAGAGGTTGCTTTGAAAAATGCGAGAAAGGTCTCAATGGTTTCCGAAAGATGGTTTAATAATTTCGTCAATGCTAGTCGTAGTACTTAGATTAAACAAATAGTACTTTGGTCACCAGTTTGGGGGAGGGGCCTACACCCACTATTGGACTTTAACGGCCTGATCAAAAAAATCGACAAAATGGAGCTGAAATGAATATTACATATACTGGAATATTTTCGTCAATGCTAGTCGTAGTACTTAGACTAAACAAATAGTACTTCTATCACCAGTTTGGAGGAGGGGCCTACATTCACTATTGGACTTTTACGAGCTGGTCAAATAAAATCGACAAAATGGAGCTGAAAGTAATATTATGTGCAGTGGGATATTTTCGCTTTTATTTTATATAATTACTCTTTGCAGTATTATATTGTTGGTTGAGGAATGTATACCATGGCTACGAGAATGTCATAGTCCCGTGCCGAAATCTTAGACGTAGACAACAAAAAATAAAATGCAAATATTATGAAATATAAGAAATTGTCATTTATGTCACTGATGCTTCCGATTATATCACATAAGTGTTCATAAAAAGATAAGGGCAATTTTCGTAAATGCACCTGTGCTTACGCGTGCACTTGTGGTAAATACTGTAATTTCTCGTGCATTAATAATTTTCACGTTTTCGAAAGCCGCGCCGCGAAAATATTAGCCTGGAGATCATTATCACCAGTCGATATATAGTGATCATCACCTAAAAACTTATTTCGAATAATTATTGTAAACAATGTAAAGAAACAGGCTTGTTATTTTTTTCACACGTCGTTTAGTATCACTGGCCTACTAAATTACTACAATTGAAATTTTCCCTGTATTGCAGAGGTGGTTATTATTTAATCATTAGTCATTAATTCCAAAAACAATATACATTGTGTGGGAAATCTTAATTAAAACATAACATATTAAATAAAATTATTATCATTATTCGTGTTTACTTCAAAATGTCTAGAAATTAATTAATAATTAAATAATGCATGTAATATTATTCTTTACAATAATACATTAATAATTACTTCTTAATCGTCAATAAATGTAAATGTTTATGGGTTACAGCATCCACTTACCGTCAGATGGACTGTGTGCTCGTTTGTTAACCTTATGCTATTAAAAATAAATCAATGTAATCATTAACTGTACAGAAACTTTTTCCAATAAAAATAATTTAACCTTTATTTAAATATCATAACACTATTCATGGGTTTTGGGGCATAAGGTAGTGTATTAAATTGTTTAATAGCTTGATTTCTAACGATATGCTCAACAACCTATAATTTTTTTAATTTAATTTGTTTAAATTATATAGGTGCTTTTAATATGATTTAATATAATAATTATATTTATTACAGCAGCGTGACCCATACACCTGCCTAGCATAAGTATGGTCAAGTCTGCCAGATCATACACATCAGTTAGCACATTATTGCACAAGTCTAAGCTGTGCTAGGGCCGATGATAATGATAAACATAGATGCAATACAGAATGTTAAAAAACATAGTTTTTTTGCCTTGTAAAAACAATAATCATTTATTTCATTTTAAATTAGGAAATTAGTAAAGTTCCTATTAATAGTAGTCTAACCTTTCATACGCGTAATAAATTAGTGTAATAAGTAGTGACGGTAAACGTAAAAAAGTAAACGTAATATATATGCGAATGTGTAATGTAATAGACGAAGTTAGTCATAATATGCCGTATACTTTTATGACTGCAAATTATGGTGTCATTGGGAGAGACTAGTGTCTAAGATATCGCCTCGGCTTAGTTTAGACGCTAGTACATAACATTTTGTAAGTTACAACTCATATAACTTGTTTAAATGTCTTAAAGATTAATAATGTAAACCTAACTTTGTGTCAATAAAATTTATTATTATTATTAAAATCTGGGGTATCTATTTAGTTTTCTCATCTGGTTGGGTTCTATAAATATATAATTATAAATGAAAATGAAAAGATAAATATACATAAATATCAATAAAGTAAAATAAATACAAAAATACATAAATAAATAAAAGCCCAACCAGATGGAAGCCCTCGTCAGGGGATACCAAACGGTCGAGGGTTAGGGGGAAAGGGAAAGGAACCGGCGGACGATGACAGCGGTATCGAGGAGCACCGCCTTCTGCATTTGAGCCTGGAGCGGTCCGTCATAGAGTCCCAGCCGCCTCAGATGACCCGAGAGGCTGGCTGGGATTAACCCGTTTGCAGACACGACTACAGGAATAATTTCGATCGGCAGACCACCCCACATGTCGGTCACCTCGTGAGCTAGGTCCAGATATTTTGATTGCTTATCTGTTTCGGCTTTCACGAGGTCCTCGTCATACGGAATGGTAATATCGACCAAAAATATCCTTGACTGTGCCCGGTCCATCAGCACAATGTCAGGCTTATTCGCATGAATAGTCCTGTCTGTGATGATGGCCCGGGCAAGTACTTGTAATACGGCAATTTCCGGTCCACGAGATCGTATTTCAGAACGAGCTCCTCGTGTAGAATCCTGGCTACTAAGTTGTGCCTGTGCAAGTACTCAGAGTTAGAAAGCGCCAAACAACCGGAGATGACATTCCTAAGCGACTCAACGGGATGGCGACAAGCTCGACAGACGTCGACGGTGCCATCCTTTAGGATGTATCTCCGATAGTTGTTCGACTTAATAACCTGATCCTGTATTGCACAGACAAAACCCTCGGTTTCCCCGAAGAGGTCACCGAAACGTAGCCAGTTAAGGGAGGCGACTGTATCTACGAAGTTATTATTATTAATCCGAGGTGCGTCAGTACGCTAACTATGACGATACTTATATTTTGTTTGTTTAATTTGTAAATAACTCATATTGTGTCTTATTGTTGGTTTAGTATAGAAAACTAATTCATTAATAGTTTTAAAATAATCATGTGAATAAATAGTAGTAATAAAATAATTAAGATTATTTTATTTTTTTAATCAGTTACCATGGATGGCAACAGACGCGACTGGTTATTTATTATAACTTTCTTTTCCAATATCGCCAGATATTTCTAATTCCGCCGCTTTATTGTAGACGTTGCATGCTGTTGTTCAAAATACAATGCAAATTCTAGATTTTCAATACAAGCTTTAGAGCAAGGCATGTTGAGTAAAGACACAGATGAAGTCATTTTTAAAAGAAATCATGTTTTAACACAAATATTATACGTATTTATTAAGTTTAAAAGTGCTATGACAATAACTGACATCACTATACGCTATAAAATAATTAAAATAAAACATTTTATAATTATTTTATAGCGTATATTAACTTATTTTAATATTATAGTAAAGTGCTCGAAACGTCGGGAATATGAAATAAATTAATATACGCGATAAACTTCTTAAAAATAGTTGATTTAAATATTTAGCTTTCGCGTTAACGTAAAAAATCATTAAATATTTGATATTATATAGTTGATATGTAATAATTAAAATGCATTTTACTTAGAATAAGTTTAAATAATAATTTACAGAATTGCTAGATCATTTATATACTTAAAAATAATTACAATTACAATGAACTAGAGTATAATATAAAATCAAATCTCTAATTAAAGTTATGATTGAGAAAAGTGTTTGTTCTTTTGTTTAGATAGATATATTTAAGGCTGATTGTAAGGCTGTCGTAAAATAACAACTTAATCAAGTTAATGTATCTAAACTTGGTTTTCTTCTTTTTGTCCGATAACAATAGAAAAGAACAAATATTTTCCTCATGTGCTCTTAAATGTATTACACATACTATAAATAAACAGAAAGAGGGATTTATTATATATCAACGTTTGTAGCGATGAAGATATCTTGAACGGACTTTATGCAAAAGTACAGTACGGAAAGAGTTCGGAAAGTTTTAAATTGAAATTACCTGCTATTTTAGGTTGTTATATAAAGAAACATCCAAATACAGGAACATTAAGCATTGTTTTCTCTAATTTTGGAAGTTTAGACCTTCGTGTTCTTAAACTCTGTTGTTAAATCCTAAACTTGTAAGAACACATGAATCTAAAATAATTTGCAACGAAAAGCATAGTTTAGGTACTTATGTGTGTGTTTGGCAGTGAAAATTTTCGAGCTGATAAAGAAAGGAAGAAGAAAGATGTGTGGGCATATGTGGGTCAAGAACTTTTCGGAATCTACTTGAAATACAATACGCAGTGTTCCGTCTGCTTTTTGTTGGTCTGAGGATACGACAGAAAATGTATCAGCTCCAAAATGACGAAGGAAACAATCGTGTGAAAATTCTGTCTCATAACTTGTATGAAAAAGTATGTGTTAGTTGATATACTATATAACGCGAAGATTGTTAATACCAAAGAGCTCTTTGTTGGTAAATACTTGTGATTTAGGCATATTACAAAATCCTTAAAAACAATATCTACATACCTTCGCTATAGCCGTTATTTACACACACTAGTATGGCTCCAGAACAGAATATAGCGATAGCTGAAATTAGATATTCTATCCTATTTTCACTGCATATTGCTACCACGTCACTTTGTTTCACGCTTAACTTCTTTAAACAGGAAGCAGTGCTTGTTATTTGTCGAGCCAATTTTTCAAATGTTATTTTCTTCTTCGTAGCTGCATCGATCTTTAAGATCCAAGAAAATTAAGTAGTCAGACATTTATTTTGTACAAGTAATTGAAAGAGTCCATTCATCTCTAGACGACCTTTTAAAGTTAAATCTTCGTTAAATCGCTCCTATTCAAACCGGATTAATTTCGTTTTTACTTAGATACCGTTAAAGCTGTGTCTATTTGTAAAATGCGCTTACAGAACAAGTTCTTTTTCTATTTTTTTTTTGTATTCGTTAAATATAAATCATAATAGTTTAATAGTTTTGATGTATAGAATGGTCATCAAATCATACTCATTCTATAACTAATATTATTCATTTCTCTTTAACACTTTTATCGCTTAATGATTTCTTAAATTTACGCGAACACTACACATTGAATAAAACTATTATTAACGGATTTTATCGCGTTTAATTACTACTTTAATTTATTTTTAAATTGTTCAAGATCGTCTCCACCATTACATTAGATTTGATAAACCGCAAATCCTCGCAAAAAAACACCGATTCCTACCAAGGATGTACGCGAGGCTATTGAAATTAAAAAACATCCAAATTTCAATGGAGAAGATGGATGGGTGCTGCCATTTGCTTGGGATCCTATAATTAACAAAATTAAACCCAAACCCAAGTATACCACTGCAAGACTTCATGATACATACTATAAGCTCGTTTTGCGTAAATCGGACCAAAAATTAATATTCAAAAACTGAAGGTAGCCGGACTAACTATGACATTGGGACATTAAACATCCCTCCCCCCCTGACCATGGGTGCTGTAAAGCACCCGAAACGTCGGGATAATAAAAATAAATTGAAGATTAAACACGATAAAATCATTGTCTTATATATTAGATAAAATCCGTTTTGGAAACAAAGCATCTCTTATTCACATGACATTTACATGACAACTCACAAGTTTTTATATATTTTAAATTTAATGTAAATATTATATATAAAGTAATTATTTTGTAAAATGAATATTTTTATTAAAATACTAGCATATTTTCATTAAAGCATAATTAAAAATAACATGATTTTTAAGTAATTATGCCGTTAAAAGTGAATAAATATTTATTATTCACGGTCTTAACAAAGATACAAAGAAAAATAAAAATAAAAAATATTATTATTTGCAAAAAGGCGAACGTACCAATGCTTCAGCGTTATTATAAGTCCAGATTTTATCTAAAAAGTACTTTCCGAAGTTCATATGTGAAGGAAGTGTAAAATTGTTATCACCATATATTATGCTATTCATATTGAGCGACTTCTGTGACGAGCATGTACCTACTAATTTTTTATCACATTCTCAATGATGTCATTTCTTTATCTGGTATTTGAACTCAAAACTGCTTGAATTCATTATATTAAATTAATGTAGATATTTTTTGTTCGTTGATGATAGGTATTGCCATTTATCTTGTGAGGATCTTGTTATCTCAATGTAAGGATTGGAATTAAATAACTGTCTGTGTTAGTCTAGTGGTCTAGTGGTTGTAAGCACGAGGTTAGATAGGTGAGGTTAGAGAACAGGAGAACGATCGCTGTATAAAATAGTGTATCAGAAATATGGCCAAAATAAGTGAGGCGCTGCGATCGCTAAGTTGTTTCAATAATTTTAATTTTTGTAAATATTATAAATTATTACAAATATAAATTATTAATTATTATTGATTTATTATTATAATTTTTTTATAATATTTCACCATTTTTAATGTTTCTTTTTGTCAAAAATTAAAAAAATACATTGCAGACACTACTTACTGACGGCAGCGCGGCTACAAATTCTAGAAATTTTCAGGGACAGGTGGGCTATGATTTAGTACGTAAATTTCGTTCTCTTGTTCTCTAACTCCATGGTTATCATAATTGGCTGACTTGTTTAGGAGCTTTGGCGGGAACTTGGCCGTAGACAGATTTTCGCTCCTGTTTCGTCGCTTGAAATATAAATATGAAATAATAGAAGCTTGACGATTTTTTTAAAAACGAAGAATTGATAAAATAAATTTTCTTTGATTATCATTAATAGATCCTATACAGGCGAAGCCGGGCGTGTCGCTAGTTATTTATATTATATACAAGTCTAAAAATTTCTTTTGACAAAATTATGTAGTATTAGCGTTTACTCAATTTTTTTAAGAAGTATCAAGAGAAATAATAAGTCTGGAGAGAATAGACGTAACCGTATTACGCATTTTATACTATGTAAACTGATACAGTAAAACGGATCTTCGGTTCTCTATACTTACCATACAAAACCCAGTACCATCAAAGTTCTATTTCGCACTGATATTCTGTGGTGGCGTGATCTTTCCCCGGTCGAGCTTAGCCGACCCATTCGTGCAACAGCAATAATACAAATACAGCGTTAGCGTTACGTGATAAAATTATTTCAATTTCCAACGAAAATTATCAATTTCTTTGTATTTAAATAAATTATCACTATTCATATTGATAATCGATGCAATTTTTTTTTACTTCAAATTGTGTATAAATAATTATAAATTAATTAAAGTTATAAAAATTCCAAAATTATCACGTGACTACATAACGCGCCATAATATGTGACTGTAATATTGTGACGTCATTATGTCAAAGCGTTGTCAACAGCTCGGATCTGTATACATATTGTTAAAATTATTAAAAGTTAGTGCAGAAAAATTATTGCCAATTATTAATTAAATCCAGTTATGTGGGAATCCGGGTTTATCAAAGATAATTCTGATAATATATTTGAGAAATGATATTCGATTCAATTCAGCTAAAGTTTGAGGTGTGAATTTTATATAATATAATTGTTGTAACTATTATATTGTTATTACTCAGTTTATACTAAATCTATGATTGTCACTATAAAATTCTATAGCGATAACAATGTAAGTAAAAATTAAATATTTTTATTAACAAAAAATTAACAATTTTTTAGGTTATCACTAGAAAGTTATGGTGATAATGCGATAGGTTATGTTCCATTACGGAATAATCACAAGAAGATATTTACTTAATTTGCTATAAATTTTTCAGTTAATATAAAAGAAAAATAATTTCGCAAAATATACAAACCTGTCATTAAGTTTTAAGCCCTAAAATTTCGAGTTAAGTACATTAAAAATTGTATTTGATGCAAATCTTTTTTACATTCATTTGATGATTGAATGATTAATATATATATATATATATATATATATATATATATATATATATATATATATATATATATATATCAAGTATATTATAATACTTACATCAAAATTATCTTCACAAAAAAACAAATTCGACGTGGCTTTAGGATTAAAGCGGTGTGCTGTTTGAAACCATTGATTCATTGAAACATTTTGCAGGGAGGTGTTTTTGTAGTATTACTACATAACGGAATGAAACAAGCCCGATAACCCTTTAAAGTAGACTTTAAAAAAATTAACTAAAAACATTTAAGTAATTGAAAATTAGTACATGTATCAGCTGCCTGCAAAGTAGAAGCAAAATAAATATTGTGACGTCACATTCGTGTCGGGCTTTCTCGGGAACTGTCGGCGCGTCGTTGTTACTGAGTTCAAAAATTATTTTCAAACTTTTTATTTATAACGAAAGAAATAAATTAACGATAGTTTTGTTACAATACTTATATATGACCTTTCGATTTTTGAAAAGATTTTTTTTCAAAAACTCAATTAAATACCCATTGGAATTGATCAAAGGAAGATTTGAATAAAATCAAATTTCATGAGTATTTAACCGACAAAGGTGTTGAAGGGATTAATTAATCTCTTTTGCTGTTTGAAAAAATAAATGCCATCAGAAACATAACTTGTAAAAAAACCAAGTTTTGCAACTCAGTTCTCCTACCGTAAAAAGTTGTGAGATCCATGGAATACCAAGTCGGTTAATTTATTCAGTCCCTACTTAAGGGTCCTTCTGTTTTAAGTTGTTACGTAATTAGCTAACCTAACAACATTTTGTAGTGACCATATCAATGTTAAAAACCTTTTATGTTTTAAATATATAGATTGACTTGGCAATCGCATGAAAACACAACGTATCTCACAAGTAATAGGTACATATTGCTTAGCGCGATTGCCAAATCAATCTATATATTTAATCATAAAAAGATTTTTAACATTGATATGGTCACTATAAAATGTTGCTAGGTTAGCTAATTACATAATGACTCAAAACAGAAGAACCCCTAAGTAGGGACTGAATAAATTAACCGACTTGGTATATCATGGATCTCACAACTTTTACGGTAGAAGAACTGAGTTGCGAGACTTGGTTTTTTTTACAAGTTATGTTTGTGATGGCATCTCATTTCTTTTTCTAGATAAGACAGTCCTACTTTTTTACCTTTTCGGTACCTTTTACTTCTTGAATACCATCATCGTACCTATCTACACCTAATATAATATATACAAGTACACCGATTCATTAACTGCAAATGCAACTTTGTAATTCTATATATGTACTTATATGGGATTACAAAGTTATTTATGCAGTTGATATATCTAGAAATCTGGATTGAAATCAAAACAAGGTAAAATACAAATCAAGGGAAAATATTTTAATTTTCCGAAAATGGCCTGAATTGCTTCGAGAAAAGTATAGTACGGCCGTGCCGCTTTTTTGCTCGACTTGGCGGGGGCACTACCGTGCCCCCAGATACTTTTGTAAGGGTATATAGATTTTTGATGTCATTTATGACAAGCAGATTTCAAACCCACCTTACCTACTAAGTTATTTTCATCATTCTTATCATCATTCCAGGATATCACAAGTCCGGTTCTGAGCCACCTGCATCCATTGACTTCCTGAATCTCTTACCAGGTCATCACTCCATCTAGTGTGTAGGTGAATGGCATGAGGTTGCCACTCAAGAACCTTTCTTTTCCATAGCTAGTTGGTCCTTCAACTTTTATGGCCAGCCCAGCCTTTAATACAAGTACTAAGATAGTTACTGACACAGAATTAGTTTTTTCTTACTTCTTAATTAAAGAGCCGTATAAGCTCATAGGCAAAGCTTGATCTCCTACACTTCTAGCTCCAACATATTGACGATGATATGCCCTCGAATAAAATAGGCGAAGCCTGTTCGGTGCCCACCGAGGTTCGAGGCACATAATGAATGTACCGATTTACCACTTGCTCGGTGGTGCAGGAAGCATCATGCGTGAAACTGTATATCTGTGAATAAATATTCTTAATTGACCCATTGAACCAAATGAATACTTAAAATTATAATAAAGATGGATTTTCTGATTCGCCCAAATCTCAGTAATAATTTTCGTTCGTTTTTAACCTTGTATTACGATACTATTTTATTTATATATATTGTAATATAAATTTATTATAAGCTGAAACAGAACGCACAAATGCACTCGAAAGTGCTGTAACCGAAATTTAAATCGGAACAATACTCCGACAATAGCCGCTGCACGAATATGTTTTATTCGAATTTGTAGCCGCGTCAGGTGTGACGGCCGCATGTTTTTGAATTGCTTTATAGTTATTGATAGCTATTTCTACACTATGTTCTATTTTTATTTACGAAAATTCTTATAGCGTGAAATATATTTAGGAAAAAAATTTATTGTAAATATTATTGAATAAAATTTAAGAAATCATTAAATTTTTTTGCCTTTAAATTTTAGTAAAGTTGATGTGCGTAAAGTATCTTATATCACAACCCTATATGGTTCCGTGAAGGTTAAGAGGCGATAGAAACTGAAATAGGACTTGAGCATCATCATCTTCTTGATGACAACTCAATTACGATGAAATTGCGGTTGCCAGTCCATCTGCCAAGCGTTAAAACAATGGCAAACGTCCTTCCTCTAATTTCCATTAAGGTATTCCATGGAAGGGGCCTACGTTCAGCAGTGGACTTTTGATGGGCTATTATAAACAAATGATTGAAATTTTTAGACATATATGTGGAAGTTTGGAATTTTTGAATTTAATTTATAAAAATCAATTGAATTTTAACCGAAATATAAACATTTTCATCTAATTTCGTCGTAGACATTGAATATTAAAAGGACAATAATAAATAAATTTATTCAGTTTTTTTCGTGAATTTATTCGATAAGGCCACATGTTGAGCAACGCTGAATGAGGCCATATCACATTTTTTTACAGAGGGGAAACGAACGAACGCACAGTCCACTTGATGATAATTGAAAGTTGTGGGCCATAGGCATCTACATCTATTCTCGATTAAGAATCAAAATGCAGATGCGATGTCACCCCTAGTTACTAAGATGTAATGTCACGTTTTCAGTAAAAAAGATCTGTAGTTCTCTACACTCACCATAAAAAAACACAGCAGCATTAAATCTATTATTTCCCGCTAGTCTGCCTCTGCTACTAGAGAACCTGGTCATTTTCCGATGGAGCTGACCTACCCCTGCCACAACAATATCTCAACATATAGCTTATAGCAGCATTGTTCTGTCACTTACAGACTAAAATATCATTGCTGAAGACGACGACCCTAAAATATACCATACTGGTGACACAATAGCGTGTTTTGTGGCAAACTATGTGGTAGCACCTATTGCCAGCAGTGTGTGATGAACTGTATTGATGATAATGAAGATTAAGGCTACGAACTTATAAATAAAGGAAATGTAATGTCTTGTATTAAAGAATTTAACTAACAGGTATTTATCAAACTGTTTTCCTTAGCTGGAGATTATATACCTACAAAAGCATTCGCGTCGTCGTTCAGTACGTGGTACGTTAACTTGGATTGTTGTACTTAGAAGTAGGTAAACGTAATTTGTTGAAGCGGCTGTGTGTTTAAGACTGGATCGCCCACGCCGCTTTTCAGATGGCGCTCAGAGCCTCTTCTCACGGCGAAGTGACTCATACCCCATAATAATTCAGTATTATATTCATAACATCGATAAGCAACTAACGGATATTAAAGTAACAACCAACAACCCATAATTGTACTGCTTCCAAACAATAGATAGGGATAAAGTAAAACATGAATACACTTTATACATATTATATAATGTAAATTTTATTTTACTACATAACATATCTTCAAAATATCTTACAAAAACGAGTATGTATTAAATTGAAAACTTATTATAAACAATATTATTTATTTTATGTTCATATAAAGCATACTTTTATTAAGTAATAACTAAATCGTAATATGTTAGTAAAAAATATCACACAATAATATAAACCATTTAAACAACAAACTCAGTGTTAAAAGCAAAAGGTTCGTGGGATCTGACAACGTGGAAAAAGTTTCATTGGCTAGAGCCAATATGCTATAATGAAATTAGTATTTAGAGGAAGATAATAGATTATGGTCCTCTAAATACTAATTTCATTATAGTTTCCGCTTTGCCTTTTAAAGACAAGCCGTTATTATTAACTCACGTTTTCTCAATAAAATACCTCCTGTTACGATGGAACAATTCATGGTAACATAGAATGACCGATTGCATTATTCGGAGTTTATGTCTCAATTTATTAAGCTATCTGTCCATTGCTGTGTAGTGTTTGCATCGTAAAATAATTGATAGTAATTTCCCGGCTTCATCCGAAGAAGGCGGACACTTGTTGACGATAGAATTCGAGTTGCATTAAGAAATAGAAATGTGTGAGTATAAATTATGATAACAATAAGTTTCCTTTAGGTCATCATTGGAGCAGTAAACGTCTGGTATTATGTTTTATTGCAAGCGCAGTAAAAGCTGAGAAGACATATTACATTCCATAAAATAATATTTCAAAAAATACTATTCTTGCCAGTGTCATATTACTGCGGTTGTTATACGGTTTTATTAATGCCCATATACTTAAAAAAAGCTTAAATGTTAATAATAAAACATACGAATACGTACTTCGACTATCTTGAGATGTATTATATGTTAACTGCAAAACTATTTTCGAAATTGGCGATTTCATTACTTACATATCATGGTCAATCAAATGCAACTGCAATCAAATCAAAAAACAATCTGCTATTAAAGAGAGTTGAAACTGTTTTTGTGTATGAATTTGATGTTATAATTAATGAATCCTATAATTTTATTAAAAAATATTCGTCGATATTCAATATCCTAAAATGCGAAATTCCACATAGGGTTTTTTTTAAATCTTAATAACGCACTCAATTTTCTTTTATCAACGTAATCGGTAAAAATAAACACCAAACCATATAATTACCTATGTTTTGAAACATATTTGATATGTGAAGCTTTTGTGGTATTGTGATATAATATAACAATACCATTAATTTTAAATATAGTATTACCGTATTAATCGAGAGCTTAAAATAGAACAATTATATTCGAATAATTTTAGACCA